TGGTCACAAGATGAATATTCAGATTTTTTCCCCAGTAGTCTGTTTTATTCAAACAATTATGAACAGTTTTGCATTTAGATACAGAAGAACCTTGCCTGCTGAATATTAAAAACAAATGAACAAACGAAAAATCTGGATCTCCATGCCTGCCATGCAAATCAACTGTTCCTGCTCATCTCCAGACTGGATCTCTTCTCTCCACTTTCCCTAATTGCAGATTCATTTATTAGATCTGTCAGCATTAATATTTTTATACTTAGATTTTTTGGGGGGGCTCAAACTTTAACACCGTGACATGACGCGACATGATAAAAAGTATCTTTTCCATGTAGTTTTTGTCCTAACCACCCGCGACAGCGCCACGGGATTCTATTTTAGAAATGTTTTTTATTTTCTGCGACGTCGCGGCAGGAACAACATACAAAATATGACAGCGATAATCTCAGGTAATGATTATGTGCTTTATTCAATGTTAAAAGTGTCTTTCTATTGTATTTTGTTGCGTCGCGCCACGCCACTCTCGTCCGGTGTAGACACGCTGTAAGTTAATGTAGCTTTCTGAAGCTGTGTTTGAATTTTCATGCGACATTATTTTAAATTAGCGCGGGCCAAACATTTTTCTCTCACGGGCCAGATGTGACCCGTGGGCCGCCTATTGAGGAACCCTGTCCTATACTGTGTTCATTAACTAGGATGTTGCTGGAATCAGCGTCTGTCTATCAGACACTCAATTTACCTTTTTGGCCTAAACCATGAAGTTTTCAGTTTCACGGTGTCACGAATTCGGTCCATGGACTTCCGTTTATTCACCACCAGAGGTCACCCTTTCCATTACATTGACTCTCGCACAACACAAACTGTTGCATAGCACCACGGCCCATAAATTATGATTGGCCATAGAAGTGTTGTCAACAGGAAGTAGTGTGCCACACTATGAAGATGATTTACCATGCCTCTGAAGGGGCACTTCACCCTTGGATTGAACCTGCTTCCAGGAATTCTGTCTCTCCTGTTGAGAGCTACTAAATCCAAGCAACTTCAAAAACATTACACCAAATAAAGCAGTTTTACTTTAATATTGCACTTATTTCCCCATACCATATGCATGCGCAAGTGTTTATGACTGACATCAATGCACATTAAAAATGTTATAGCATTTAAGTGCATTTTTGCTAATGGTGCTATGAATTGTCGTTTGTTTTAGGTTTACAAACACTAATATCATTCACAAAAGGCCAGAATGGACTTTAATTGCTGTGGTTCTTCTGTCAGTGTAAGTATCAAATGAATATTCAATACATTCAAACTAGATTTAAGCATTTTCTGAAGTTGCTGGGTGGTTGATAGGTGGTTTATTGTCCCTCAGAACAAAATGTGTGTCCAGATTACTTCCAACCAGAGTCAAGTCACAACAAATGTATCTTTTGGATGTCAAACAGATCTTTAGATTGCTTAAGCTAATTATCTACTACTGCATGGCTTTTGTCCATTTGCTCATGCATGGGAAAGTGCCACATGTGTTGGTATTTGCCATGAGAGGCTAGCAGGGCTGTTCCTCAACTAAACTAGCGTGTGCTCATATAAAGGCTCAGAATATTGCAACTGCAGATAATGCTGTGGGTTTATCTGACGATGACTGTTGATTGGGGCTTTATGGCACCTCGATGGCCTGCTGTGCTCTGACAGTGAAAGTATGTAGTAGACAAATCAACAGCTGGAGGGCCTGGCTTTAACAAGAGCATACGGGAACAGCACTGAGGAAATCAGGGAGCATTGTTTTCTGCAAAGCTATAAGACACAAGGGATTTATGTCTGTGCGAGTGCGTGTATGATTTGTGTGCATTTCTTTGTGCTCCAAGTTAATATTTGTCTACTTGATAAAGATTTGTCCTTCTTTTGAGGATTGCTTATGGAGTTTTTTAATAGTGAGACATCTTTAATACACACACACATATAGAAAGAAAGAGAGGTTTGCCGCCTCTATTCATTTTAAAAAATGCAATCCATAGCAATACATTGACTATAATAACATTTGAAGAATTTTTGTCATGTGATGCTACCTACGTGCAGAAAAAAATGTAACTCTTTGAAAATCAAAATATAAAAAGGACCTCTGCATGACTGTGTGTCAAGGTCAACAAGTCTCTAAAAATATAAGATAATTTGATCATCTTATGGCAGGGCAAGGTTAGTTCAGATTGTATAATGTAATGTGCTGTGACTCACCAAAAACATAATAATTCATGATATTTGTTAATAAAAACTTAATTTTAAACTGAAGAATATATATATATATAATACAATTATTAAGGTGTGTACACTCACATGTATCTAAGGTGTAGGAAAATGAATGATAATTATATTTTGTATGTTTCAAACTAGATTCTTCCTTTGATTTACTGTTAACACTCTTTTATTTGTCATTGACTCGACATGGTTTCAGAATGCCATCTTGTATAATGTGTGTGTGGTAGAAAAAGCTACACAATAATGTTTATACAGTGCCAGGTGGCGTGTATGACTTCCCTCAGGTTTATGAATGCTTGACAGAGCCACCAACTCTGAGGAGAGTTCCGTGCTGCTCCCTGTCTGTGTCAACACAAGCCCGTATCTTATCACGGCTTGATTGCTGTGGATCCGTGATGCTGGGGTAACAGCATGGGAAACATTCCACCTGAAGAGCCAACACACAACCCCAATTAAACCACTCACATTTTAAAGATCTGCCTAAAGACATGGCTCTGATTTATTATTGACTGGCTGGAGGATTTCACCAGATAGTTCAATAAATAAAAGCTTTGTTTGTTTATTAGATCCCAAGAGAACAAATGTGCATCAGCAGGGTAAAAATTGTGATGTTCTGAGAACCCACAAAATTAATATATGTATGTGTTATAACTTTGTTCGGTTACACTTTAGATTAGGGAACAGATTCATTATTAACTAATTGTTAATTAGCATGCATATTGCTCGAAAATTGGCTGTTTATTAGTACTTTCAAAGCACATAATGCCTCATTCTGCATGACCTTATTCTAGATCCCTTAACCCGACACCATATCTAAACATAGCTACTACAACAGCTACCTTAATTGCTATAAATAAGGAGTTTATTGAGGGAAAACTCTTGGTTAATAGTGAATAGTGTTCTCAAATCTAAAGTGTTACCCTTAGTTTTGATAGGACATGTTTGGAATGACATGCTTAAAAATACTTTTAATAACATTGTTTATTGGAAATAACTTTGTTCACTAATCTCACTGTTTTTGACTGCTCGTCTACATTTAGTTTCGGAAGCCATTTGAGGCTTTCATTCTGTTTATCAGCAATGGGCCTGTTATTTTCCCTTCATGAATAATTTGGAGGCACACCTCTCTGTGCCTTATGTCAGGTGTGCCACTGGCCTGTGGGCTTTTGTTGAGAGCAATTCAATAATAGATAAAGCACCAGAAACTGTAGAACAGGTTGAATCCGAGCTGTTGCAATAACACCTTTTTTCTCTTAGAGAAAGAACTATGGATGGATGATTTCTTAAAAGTGGCATAAATTCAGGCGTTTATGTGTGTTTAACTTTACATTGAATCATTATTTTCAATTCCTTCAAAACAGATCATTTAATTAACAGGTAGTGTACTTAATACTTTTTAAGTTAAATATTGATTTGTTTTAATAAATCGTAAAGGCGTAGAAGTTTATTGTGGTCGGTGACGATTTTAAAGGTGCCATAGAATGGAAAACTGTATTTACCTTGGCATAGTTGAATAATAACAGTTCTGTACATGGAAATGACATACCGTGAGCCTCAAACACCATTGTTTCCTCCTTCTTATGTAAATCTTGTGCATTCAAAAGACCACCGAAAAATAGGCGAATCAGAACATAACACAGACTGTGACGTTACAGTCGGGATCACTAATAGTTACGACCCCAACATTTGCATATACCCATGTTCTAGGCCAGCCGGACCTGCACAGCCAAATCATCAGAAGTTCTGCAGGTATTGTGAAGAAACAAGCGAGGACAACAGCGAAAATGGCAGATCATGGAAATAAATGTTATGTTACAGGCTGTGCAGGGGATGTGAAGTACAGATTAACAGAAGTGTCACCATTGCTGAGAGAGTCATTGGCAAGTCCGTCTCCATTGGAGTACATCTCCTCTCTCATGAGCGAACTGAAAGTGGAGGACAAAGATCTACACAATCTTGTACTGCTCTTCAAACCCTGCGTTACTCAACAAACATAATGTACCACACACACATTTAGAGTTTATAATAAAAGCTTACCTGAAACAATGATTCTCTGCATCCTTTTATTTCCAGTACTCAATATGTCAAATCATCAAAACCTACAACATGCATGTTAGACCCTATTCCATCTAGGCTACTAAAAGAGGTGCCTCCAGAAGTCATAGATCCTCTTCTGAATATTATTAATTCATCAATGTCTTTAGGATATGTACCTAAAACCTTCAAATTGGCTGTTATTATGCCTTTCAAAAAAAACACAACTTGATCCTAGTGTCAGACTCTGTTCCATGTTTTGTCTGTGTCTTGCTCCCTGAGCCTGCTCTCATCAGAGTTACAAATGACCTGCTCTTATCATCCGATTGTGGTTGTATTTCTTTATTAGTGCTACTGGATCTAAGTGCTGCGTTTGACATTATTGACCACAACATTCTTTTGAGTAGACTACAAAATTATGTTGGCATTAGTGGAATTGCATTGCCATGGTTCAAATCGTACTTATCTGACCGTCATCAATTCGTAGCAGTAAATGGCGAGATATCATATTGTTCACAAGTACAGTATGGAGTGCCACAAGGCTCAGTACTAGGACCGTTCAAAAGTTGTTGTATGTTCAATGACACATATTCAAATGTCTTTGTGTCAGTTTATCGTTTAAAATGGCCACTTCGTGTGCATATCCTGGATGTTTAAATCTTTTGAAACCTAACTTCCGCCTACGTCAAGCGTGACATTTTCAACGTAATTACGTATTACATGAAGTCATGGACGCGCATCACAGAGCAGTGCAAGGCACGCATTTTTGTTTATAAAGCATATACTTTTTTTTTTTTTTTACAAAATGACCGATCGTTTCGCCCTTATTCCTCGTCTGGTATCGTGTAGAGCCCTTTGAAGCTGCACTGAAACGGTAATTTTGACCTTCAACCGTTTGGTAGCCGTTGAAGTCCACTATAAGGAGAATAATCCAGGAATGTTTTCATCAAAAACCTTAATTTCTTTTCGACTGAAGAAAGAAAGACGTAAACGTCTTGGATGACATGGGGGTGAGTAAATTATCAGAATTTTTATTTGAAAGTGAACTAATCTTTTAAAACACTGTCTAACACTTGATGGCTGCTCTGTTAATTAATCGTTATCAGTTAGGAACCTAGGTGTGCTATTTGATAGCAAAATCTTTCCTTTGAAAACCATGTTTCTAGCATTTGTAAAACTGAATTTTTCCATCTTAAAAATATATCTAAATTACAACAAATGCTCTCAATGTCAAATGCAGAAACGTTAATTCATGCATTCATGACCTCAAGCTTAGACTATTGTAATGCTTTATTGGGTGGTTGCTCTGCGCGCTTAATAAACAAACTCCAGCTGGTCCAAAATGCAGCAGCTAGAGTTCTTACTAGAACCAGGAAGTATGACCACATTAGCTCGGTTCTGTCAACTCTGCACTGGCTCCCTATTGAACAATAAATACATTTTAAAATCTTGCTAATTACTTATAAAGCCCTGAATGGTTTAGCTCCTCAATACTTGAGCGAGCTCATATCACATTATAGTCCTTCACGTCCGCTGCGATCTCAAAACTCTGGCCATTTGATAAAACCTAGAACATTAAAAAAAACTACTTTTCCTATTTAGCGCCCAAAATCTGGAACAATCTACCTAGTGTTGTTCGGGAGGCGAACACACTCTGTCAGTTTAAATCTAGATTAAAGACCCATCTCTTTAACTTGGCATACACACTAGATATACTAGAATACACTATTGCGTTTATATAATTCAAATCATCTTTCACCTCATCACCTCGATAACCATATTTGGCACAAATCCACGGGAACCAGACAAATCCTCTGCACCTGTGTTGCAGGCTGGAATTAAACCACACCATGCTGGTTTCGTCTGGCCAGAGAAGAACTGGCCTCCCGACTGAGCCTGGTTTCTCCCAAGGTTTTTTCTCCATTTCTGTCACGATGGAGTTTTGGTTCCTTGCCACTGTCGCCTTTGGCTTGCTTAGTTGGGGATACTTGACTGATTGCACAGACACTATTGGAAGATATTTTCCTGTTTAACACTGTAAAGCTGCTTTGACACAACCAGTAATGTATAAAGAGCTATACAAATAAAGGTGACTTGACTTGACTATCATATTTAAGTAAATAATAATATCTGGTAGGTTGCAACTATCCATTTTTTATTTGCTTGAAAACTGAAAGAACCATAAAGAAATCAAATTAAGATGGTGATGTTAATGTCTCACAGGACATCAAAAAACCCTTCTTTACTCTTAAACAGAATTTCTGAAGGATTCTTCACTCTGGAAAATTCCTGTATGTTAAATGGGTCCTATTATGTTTTTTCACTTTTTTAATTTTAGTCAGTGTGTATGTAGTGTGTATGTTTGGGCATAAAACAGATCTACAAAGTTACAAATCTCAAAGTCCTCTCCAAAGGGAAATATTTCATTTTTTTAAAAAATCCATTTTCAAGAACTACAACGAATGGCTCGTTTGAACTACAGCATTGTTTTCCGGGCTTTGTGATGTCACAAAGCGGCCCATTAGAATATCATCAAAACAATGCCCGCCTACGGAAATTCGAATGGTTGGGGGGTGGGGAGGGTCCATAGATAGGTATGTATATCTATGGGGAGGGGCGAGGTCGTGGTTAGAATGCTTGGTTGAGTGCATCAGGCAAAGGACGCGGCAGTACTGAAACACCATCTAGCTGTTCACCAATCACAACCACTGATCTATATATAATGACTATTATATTATATAATAATTATATTATATAATAATCTATTAATAGATCAGTGATCACAATGCACTGGGACAGCTAGCCAATCACAACACATTTCATTTTTCGGGAAGGCGGGCCTTCATCAAACCCGGAACTAATCGAGCCGTTTGTGCCAGGCTGGGGAGTTTTTCGAACCACCAAGCATGAGAGCATGTTCTAGTACACCCCAAAAACAAAATCAAGACTTTGTAAAAGAGCATAATAGGACCCCTTTAAATGCAAATGCAAAGTAATGCTGTTGATGACTTCAGGATTTTTTTTTTTCTAAACAAAATTTATTTAAAGCGAGATATATCCAGCTGCAGACCCGCAGCACCCGCAGTTTCAGAACCGCAGCCACAGAACCGCTGCCACAGAACCGGAAGTGAGGGGCGGAGCTTAAATTTTTAA